GTTACAATTAGAGGACACCGGTTACCTGTAGGATTCCTTTAGATCCTATTGACATCCCTATCAAATTCATCTGAAATCAGTCCCAGAACAGCTGGTAGCCCATTAGAATCCTTTTCACTGTGATATCAAACCATCAGGTAAACACAAAACAAAATTCATGATTATTGGACACCAACAGAATCTTTTAATCATTTCTGCTGTTTTCTTTTACCCCTTTGATAAATCCCCCTTTAAAACACCTAAAAGAGAGTGGATCACTCATGCATTTGATGTGGACTTGTTTTTGTGAAAACATCTTTCACGCCTGCCAATTTTCAGATCATGATGAGGTCATGACATTTAAAAAAAGAGAGTTCCAGTTCATAACCGAAACCTTTCAATGGATCACACAGTGGGGAAACACTCACAGTTCCCCACAGCATAATACAGGGCTCTGTTTGACAGAATGATTTCTGTGACATAAAAATGAATAGATGTCCATAATTTTTTAGTTAATATAATCATTATACTTGTTAAATGTAAATGGGTCATTCTACAGAAACATCCATTGTTGTGTCCCTAGCATTTACAGATATATTACACTTGAAAAACATGTTAGGGTTACAATTTATTTATATTTTAAAATAAAATTGAGCAATTTAGCAATATTGGTTATTAAGTCAATTATATAGAATTCCAAGCACCCCAGAACTGCTCATCCTCACAGTCATGTGTGAAGACTGAGGCCGTATTTTGAAGTAAAAAACACATTTTTCTGCAGTTTTAACTGCAATAATCTATTCATGACTATGAAATATATGATTTAAGTGACATAAAGAAAACAAATGCCAGATAAATGTCGTAAAATATATAATGAAAGTTCCCCAGGAGTCGTGTCACTGGTGTTACTGCGTAACAAAAAATCTCTTATTTTGAAATAAAAATCACACTGATGACATCACTTGACTTCCTTTTACCTGTTTTCTGAGGATCTCTGAAGAAAAGCACATGGTGAGTCCCACTGTGTCTTTCAGTTATCAGAGATTTTCTCATTTAGCTCATGATTTCATATGAAGCTTTTAGTTGAAGTCACTGGTGTGACCGACTTTATTCTGAGGTAATTGTGAAAAAATAGAATACAAATGGATTAAATTACATATTTTAGTGGATATTCCATGATTGACAACATGTGATTTGATGCTCTGTAGCAGCCATTTTGTAAAATGCATTTTTCATTAAAAGTGTCTCTGGAGTTTCCTTTCTTATGTGTAACACCAATAAGGATCAGTAACACCAGTGACTCCTATGGACAGATAGAAAAGTGGACGTTTTCATAGAATGACCAAAATAAGTATTGAAGTGATGCTCTTATTCTGTTGTTAGGTTTGACAAAACACAAGGGTTAAGTTCTCGAAATGCCGAACAGAATTTTTTCCGGTATCTAGGTAGCCTCCATGCAGCCAAGCTAGCTGGTTAGTCCTTCATGGGCTGAACTCAATTCCTGAAGTATCAGATTAAACCACCCACATAATTAGGAACTGACAGTGGAATCAATCGTGTTTGGATTTCCATTAAGTGGGATATTTTTTTTTACAGTCCTGGATGGTCCAGCGCAGTTTGGTAGTTTCCCAACTAAAAGTCCCCTACTAAACCTAACAAAGAGGAACCATCAGGGCCCTCTACGCCCTCACAGAGGGCCTGAGATATATTATAAAAATTGAGCAGTTCTAGTTTTATCTGATCATATTTTGACAATCAACATCTAAACAAATACAAATCTAGGCAAATCCTTTAAACCTGCCTATTCAATTTGTACTGGATTGTGAAAAATTGTTAAATTAAAGAAGCTGCTTTGTCTCCCTATCAGAATTTTGCCAAATATGCTGTTGCTGAAAAGAATGATGGTGATTGGTTGTCCAGCTATAAATGTACAAAGGGCCAAGCAATGATAATTCAATGAGAGACCAATTTCAAATGACAGTAAAATTGACTAATCGTATCTTCCCTCTAAAAGGGTGGGCTTTGTTATTGCTAACTTTATGACAAGTTCCGCCCACTGTGGAGACACGCAGGCTCTGGGGACAAAAAGCTAGCAAAAAAAGCTAGCTGGCTTGTTGGTTCGTGACAGAAGCTGAGAGTAACGTTACCGCTAGTAAGGAGGACATTGCTGCAAGTTCATTATCTACACAGCTCACTAGATTAACTTTTAATGAAAAGTTTGAGTTAATCAGCAAAGGACGACCTACACCAGAGCTTAATTTGGTGCAAAAAATGCTTTTGAGAGGCATTTACCCCTGGATGACAGGATCGACCAAGGAGCAGAGGCTCTGCTGCTGGGATCGCTTGCTGTTTGGTGCGGAGAGGGGGTCTCGGGCCAGAGAGGTTTAAGAATCACGGTTTGCTACTGAAACTTAGCAAAGAACAGATGAGTTAAATCAGGTGTGTTTGGGGAGGAAAATCACCAAACTGTGCAGGACACTGGCCCTCCAGGACTGGAGTTGTGCACCCCTGTTCTAGGTCTTGTGGAACTCAGAGAGAGTACGAGTGGCAGCCTGTTCAATGCGTTTCAACCAGAGGGGAAACCTGCACCAGCTCTGTGTTAGGGCTCTGAAAGAGTGAAACTGCTACAAGGTCAAATATATGGTAATATATCTGTTACAGGCTTCAAATGTCCAAAATAAAAAAAAAACTTGATGTAAATCGGTATTAGCTTAGCGCTTACATATGACTAAAGACCCATAGGGGTGCTAGCAGAAATTTAGCATGATGGTAGAGGTGTTTTTTTTCCTTGTTATTTACCAACTTCTGACATTTTTGGCCTAAATTGAAAGTCTACTTCTAGTAGTCCTGATTCACCTTTGGATTTACCCTTAGTTTTTAATAATGCCGTTCCTGAAAAAACAGTGGAGCTATAGGACAGTAAGGCCTAACTCACTCCATTATATGAATACCATTCTACAGTAACAAGGCATGCAGATCCTCGAAAAACGTAATAGCCTACCATCCAAAAGGATGAACAAACAGAAAAGTCTGCGCACTGTTGCCCCCAATATCAAAATGATCCATTTCTCAAAGCTGTAATGTGTTTCAAGCAAAACCTCTCTTCATCAGATTAAAGATCTTGAAGACCCACTTGCATTTTCCCAAAATATTTAGCCAGTCTGTTCTGTAAAAAGTCGTAGGCCATCTGAGAAAATGATATGCAAAGATAAGTCCTGCAGATGGAATTTTACAAATCCATGTGATGGATAAAGTGCAGAGTTCTAACTGTAGGAAAACTTCAGGAAAACAAGGAATTTTTACTGTACTTTTACTTCTATTTTGTACTGTACAATGTTGTATAGGCAGATCTTTAAGAATATGGGTCCTTTAATTGTCGTCATTATTACAGTGATGACAATTAAAGGACCCATTTAATGGAAAACTGAATTTCTTTGCTTTTCTGAAATAAAAGAGTTTGTATCACATCAACACTGTTAAAGTATTAAAAAGGTACAGGGCCATTCACTCCCTCGCCCATTTGGTCCTTAAGCTGGGGTTACACTACACGACTTTTACCCCAATTTTAGCCCCGATTCTCAGTCTGGCCGAGTCTGAGCTGGTCGGCTCTGGTCTGCAGATGTTTGGGTCAGTCAGAGTCGACAGTTGGAGAGAGAGTCGAGTCGTGTTTGAGGGGCGCAGACTCAGATTTCTTTCCTCCCGATTGCGTTTCAGACCAGTCGGAGTTTATCAAACATGTTTGATTTTTTCGACCCGACTCTGAGCGAAATCTTGTGTAAACTGATCAAAGACTCAGTCTGATCGGATTCCTGCAACAGTCAATGGAAACTGAGAGCTCGAAAGAAGAAAATACAGCGGCAAAGAAAAATGGTGAAACGTTTCTCACATGTGGAGCGAAGCTTTTTAATGAGCTGAGTTCAAGGAACAATCGAGTTTATGTACATTTAAAACTCTAAAAATACCAGATTGGTCACATTTTTAAATCTATGATCTTCATTTAAACATGTTTACCTGCTGCTTCTTTACTGTATCAGCGCAAACAGCAGACGAAACAGCAGCGAGACGCTCCACGTTTGTTTATTTGCGTCTCCTAGTAACGGGAAAACGTGAGAGTTCGCGAGAGATCAGTGAGTTCCATGAGTTCCATTTGGTTCAGCAGCAGCTACAAAGTTGAGTAGTGTGTACTTTATATATTTTTTTTTGCTCAAAAAATCAGCAGAAAACAGTGTGTTAGTGTGAGATGCCCAGTCATATTATAATCTGTTCAGAATTTAAAGTCGTGTAGTGAACCCAAGGCTTTAGATGGAAAGCTGCCAATTTTGAATTCACTGTTTTTGTGATGTCACAAAAAACCCAACACGTTTCCATATACCCACCCATTCAACCTACACTTCAGCTCTATCTCTCAAGTTATAAGCCCAGACTACAATTGAATGAGTCATAATACAGAACTAGTCAGAACTCAGATCATTTACATATATCAATCTTAAAGACATGGTAACAACAACAGCCTGCTTAATTTGAAAAGATAAAGAGAGGTTTGTCATGCAAAAATGAATTATGACTGGTTTTGAAATATAAACCCAAGTGGAGGAAATAAAAAGTTTTATTAAATGTGGTTTTGATATTGGGGGTAGCAGTGCACACTGCGCAGACAGTTTGGTCCTTTATCGTTTTTTACAGTACCATCTTGTGGGAGATGGTGTAATGACAGCCTTGGTAGGTGTCGTGTTCCTTCTTAGGCTGCATGGCTGACATTACAAAGCAGCACATCTGCTTGGACTGAAGTGTGAATAAATGTTTCTATACATGCCAAACCCAGCATATTCATGAGACTGTGTGTGGGTGATCGCAGATTTATTTGGTTTCCAGTTAGGGGCAACTGAAACAACAGCTAGCTCCGGTTGTAACAGAGTTTATTCAGCAGGTAAGGGGTATCGAAGGTACAATGTAGCAGCATTACTGGGAGGGGAGATGGGTATGTCAGGGAGAGAAGCAGGGGGCAGGCAAGACCTCTTCTCTCACATGGTCAGCTCCTAAAGGTAGATATAAAGAGAAATATTCGTTTAAAACAAGCAAAAATGTGATATGCTGTATGCCATTGTGCTATGCAGTGTTCTTCCACTATAAAGACAGGACTGTAGTTTGAACTTTAAATGGAACAAAACATCTATTTATTCTTTTAGTATTTCATGCTGGAGCAACACATTGTTAGCATGTACAGCCATTTGGCTGAAATAAGAACATGTAAATGGAGTTTTACCATAATAGCACTGACGCTAAAATTTACAGCCGTTTGGTTCAAGTAAGCACACGTAAATGGAGTTTTACCATAATAGCACTGACGCTAAAATGCTACGTACTTGTAAACAGAGTCTTTCCACAATAGTTGTGGTGCTAAAATGTACAATGTTTTGGCAAAACCGTTCATATACATGTATTCTCACCGTAGCAATGATGCTAAAATGTACAACCATTTGGCTGAAGAAGTACATATAAATCGACCCTTATCATAGCATCGATGCTAACATTTTCAACCCTTTGGTTGAAGTAAGTAAATGGAATCTTACCTTTACTTCATTAACACTAAGATTTGGCAAACGAGTCCATGTAAATGCAGCCATTCCATTATAGGACTGATGTGAAAATTTCCAACAATTTATAAGTAATGTTACATATAAATATGTCATTTTATTGATTCTAAAATTTGTGACAATTTGCCTATGTAAATAACATTACATGTGTATGGAGTCTCATATATCATAATAGCACTGGCACTAAATCTTACAGCCAATTGAATAAGTAAGTATATGTAAATATGTAAATTCATGTTTATGCACCAGAGTAGCCTGAAGATTCGTCGTACTGTACCCCTGTATTTGTATAATGACAACAAAGTGTAACTGAATAAAGTCTTACCATAATAGCGTTGACGATATCGTTCTTGTTGTGACGTAGTGCACGGACAGCTTTAGCGCGAGCCACATTAGCCTGCGCCATCACCAGCTCAATATCTCTCTGTTCCAGTCCACTCTCGTCCACCTGATTAAGTGAAAGCAGTTCATGTCACACTGTGAAATCAAGTAAGTGGAAACCTAACTGCCGTATTATTTGTATCAGGGAAGGTAACTCACTACTATTCAAAACTTTGAAATGCTACTGAAAACGTCAAATTTCATATTTTTGAATACATCATTCAAACGTACATGTTTACATTTGTATAACATATGATCAAATGCAGTTTTCTACATGCACTATATGTTCAAAAGTTTGGTCATTGGCAATGCTTTACTATGGAGATTAGACAAGTTGTGTATGAGCAATTGAATGCCTGCGTCAACAACGGGTGCACCATAGCCTCTTTCTGTAGGCCCCCTAGTGACAATTCCACCAATGGCATGGAAACGTTTTAGTTATATGATCAACTAAAATATATTTTCTGCCACAACTCTATTCTGATCTGTCACAGCACAGCTTGTGCGCGAAATCGCTACTCAAATCGGTTCTGAAGGCAGCGCTGCCTTCAAGGTGGAATGAACGTACGTGGTTATCGTACGTGGATGAATGTGGTTGGTTAAGCAGAGCAAGTTGGAATGAGAGATATACTATAAGGTTTGTCAAATATAGATGCCCATGTGTACTTTGATGTGTTCATAATTCATGTCATGCTGAAAGCATATTATTACCATTACTTTTATTACTAGTTCGTCCCAAAAACATCGGATATAAGCTGGTGCCATGATCGCACAATGTGCATGTACTACCCTAATATGCTTAAAATCTAAGCAGTTGTGATTTAGGCGCAGAAAGCTTGACCACAGCAAAGTTTGGTGGCTGCACGCCACTATCGTTGCAAGAGGCACGTCTTCAGTTCCAACATGTAAACTCAGCATTAGTAAAGAAACTGTTTACTAACGAGCATTCTTACTAGTCTACTTACATTACTTCGCTAGTTAACAAGCAAGCAGTCAAAGAAGATGCTGCTTTAGAAGGTCACTAGTTTTCCAGGCAAATTCAAGCCAAAGTACTTCCCCCTCTCTGTGCTGTTCAATTTTAAAAAACATCAAGACGTTGAAATGACAGGGACAGAACGGCTCTTTACCTCCTCTTCTTCCTCACTCTCCTCTTTTATGGTTAGGCTGGGCATGATGTCTGGGGTCAAAGGCGAAGGGTCAAGGGGAACCTTAAACTTCTCTGCCGCAGCCTTGTGCACCTGCTGTGACAGGTCCTCAATCTGAAATAAAAAACCAGGAGAGCATGTATTTACTTTACATCTACAAGGTGGACTGACAAGGTAGGAGAGTCTAATAGAGTGGACAGTGAGTGGACACAGTGTTTAAAAACTCCAGCAGCACTGCGGTGTCTGATCCACTCATGCCAGCACAACACACACTAACACACGACCACCACGTCAGTGTTACTGCAGTGCTGAGAATGACCCACCACCCAAATAGTACCTGCTCTGTGAGGGTCCATGGGGGTCCTGACCACTGAAGAACAGGGTAAAAGGGGGCTAACAGAGTATGCAGAGAAACAGATGGACTACAGTCTGTAACTGTAGAACTACAAAGTGCTCCTATATAGTAAGTGGAGCTGATAAAATGGACAATGAGCGTAGAAACAAGGAGGTGGTCATAATGTTATGCCTGAACGGTGTATATTGGATTGTTCTAGAAACACGGCTGCGCTGGTTAAGCACACTCAGTGCTGCAAGCAGATATCATGCCTGTTCAAAAAGCCGCCTCTGTGGTAAGCTGTACATTTTAAGACATCCCTACACCACAGAATCAGGAAAAACACTTGAATAAATATGTCTCAGCTCTCGTTCACCAGGCAAAACTGGTCATATCAAATGGGCCCAGGCGAAATGGCTGCAGATAAGAATGCTAAGTGCTTAGCTAATTGGCCACACACTCTCAGATGGTGTGACATTTGCAATTCTGTTCTTCCTTACTAGAGTAATTACAGTTTTGTGGCCAATTTAAAGATAATATACTACAAGCAGAGCCTTTACTGAACTGCACTTCATGCAGTTATTTTCCACATAGTTACCCGAATAAGAAGCTTAGCTGCTATCACTGTTTTTCAGCTATGCAGCATGCTTATGTCAATTTTTATAGATAACAGTATGTCATACAGTATCAGAAATCACATAAGCAAGTCTATTTGAGATGACTTGATGACTCTGTATAGTGAGGGTTTAGGCATGCAGTTTGCACAGCGCTAATTGATAAAGTTAAAGCTTCCATTACTGTAACCTACATTAGCCTTGAAGTTTCAGTGCAAAACTCAAGGAGCAAAATTCAGACAAGAAATCTGTCTTGGCTGAACGACTGCATTACTATTGCTTTAAGATAAAGGCAATGGCCAAGAAGGTCGTTAACACAAAAATGCTAACCTTGGCTTCTCCAAAGACTATGTAGATGTCTGATGCAGGGCTTTTGAAGACGTCTGGACGAGTGATAACAAAGAGGATGTTCTTGGACTTCCGGATGGTGATGCGTGTAACTCCATGGATCTGTTTCAGCCCAAGCTTAGACATAGCCTTGTGTTGATAACGCAAAAAAAAAAAACATTAGTTAGGTGCTGAATAGACACGATAAGGCATTAGTGTGTCAGGCATGTCAGCAATCTGCAGAATGGGATCAATAACGTCTCACCTTCCGAGCCTTCTTCTCACTTCGGCTCTGCTTAGTTTTGCTCACTGACTCATCAGCTGCAGAATGTGATATCTGGGAGAAGTTAACCAAGAGAAATGGAAGAATTTGACAATGACGAGGACAAACTGGAGAGTAAAGTCTGATTGCAGCTCATTTGCAGTGTGTCAGACAAGCACAAACACAATGTTTTTGCACTCTTTTCATTTTTCATAACTCACCTGTGGGTCGGAGGGTCTTAGAAGACTCCCATCTGGCTCTTCCAGCTCAGGAACTGAACCATCACTGTCTGTATCATTACAGGAACCCACTGTATGTTTGAGAGATAGAGAATGAACTACCTCATACCGTTTGACATTGGGTTCATATATTAGCAAGGACAGAACTTATGCAGTAGACTGGCAAGGACACATACTGTTGTTTTTTAAGGAGAGATCCATGTCATCTGAATCCTTTGTTCTGTAGCTGATTGAGCATCCGTCCTGGTGGTTAGTGTGCTTTCCGGCTGGCTTTTGCCTTGTTTCAACGGGGCAATTTAATGTGGGGTTAATGCAGGGTAAGATCTCCCTTTCACTGGTCAAGGTTGACGTTCTGTGAGCAGGGCTAGCATCTCTGTGTCCCACGCATCCAGTGGGAATGGTTTGGGGGCTTTTAGAAGACTCTGCCCTGTGTATCTGGCATACTGCTGAAACAAAATCAATCAAGAATTTCATCAACGACCACATATGTACAAAATTGACCAGCATGTCCATTACGCAAATGGTAAACTCAAATTTGATCAGCACACAACTTGGGCTGCACTGCCAAAAGTTTGAGGAACCATCACATAATGTAAAAAAACTATGAAGAACCCTTAAATTGGTATGGAACTGGTATATTATGTGAAGGTTCTTTAAATCTTTAAAAGGTCTCTTTTTCAACCATGATTCTTCTAAGGCATCGACTTTTTAGCATTAAATATGGCAAATTTCAAGTAGTCGGTCTGACGTGCATTAGTGAGTCAATAAGCATGCATGCTTGCACCACATTCTTGTCATTGGCTGATAACCTGTGATTGACTGATAAACATGTTCTTGATTAAAGATGACACCAATCCAATCTGATTAGGTATCAAGCTGATATCAGCGTAAAATGCTGGCTCAGATATTGGAGGGAAAACAGTTATAATCTGACCCAATACTGTCACAAATCTAGCCTGAAATAGCATACACTGTCATTGTGGGATGTCCTGTTAGCTGTCTGTTTCTTTATGTGGGGTGGTAGAGTGTTGTTCCCAATAGTCTGCTTTTAGATGGTTGTCCCAAGTGAATCAATTTAAAAGAGCTCATTTTAAAACTTATTTTTAAAGTAAAAATATCTAATTAATTTTGACCGATACACAGTTTTGATATGACTATTAGTATTGGAAAAGGAAATGTGGAATTGTCCCATCTCTGTTTTTCTCCTAACACATTCAACACACTATTCCACTACAAAGAGTTAATGCCATATGATTTTCTTTTTTAAATGTCTGAATTTATATAATAAATAATGTAAATACTAAGAACATATTAATAAAGAAATACCTAAACAGAAATTTACTAAACAGAAATAGATGTTTAATGCGTAATTTGTATCGTTCAGGAGTTCATGTCAAAGTCAAGGTACCCAGCCCTATTTTTACCGTTATTTTTGTAACAAACATTCATTTAGTCTTCCTGAAAAGTTATTGTGACACTAGATGTTCTCTGTATTTAATGATCAATGGCACAAAAAACAATATTTTAAAGTACAGCTCACCTTCTGAGTTCCCTGGTCTGCTTGGCTTCGGTTGTAAGGATAACTGCTCATTCACCTTTTGCGTGTCCTGTATGGGGAAAGGAGGCTGGTAATTCTTGCTCAGACTCCACTGTGGACACTTCCACACTGGCGACAGGAGAGGGCCTTTGTAACTTATCCTGACATGGCTGATCAATTGTGGCTGATTCTGTATGAGTGAGAAGACTGTGTACGTGGGAACTGTCACTTGAAGGCTGTGATTCCTGTATAGGGGTAGGAAGGTCCTCATCCAGCACATGTATGGATGAGACAGGAGGGGAATGCCTGCTCTCTTCTGAGCTTTCTGCTTCAAATGTGCTCTCCAAAGTGCTCCCTACATGATTATCATTGATGTCTCGTGTGCTTTCTTGACATTTCAGCTCTTCTAAGGTGCTATCGTCAAGTTCTTTTTCTTGATCTGGATTGGCAAGACTATTTGCTTTAGTCAGACTCTCTGACTCTGTCAGATTATCTTGTCTTTCCAGAGTGTTGGAGCTAGAGCTCCCATGGTGGAAAACAAGCTGATTTGGTGTTTGGTCATGTTCATTTTTCTCTGTTGTAGCATAATTTGTGTCTGTTTGCTGAAGATTTTCATTAGATGTTTCAGTCTGAGCGATGGTATTCGTTTCCAGCGTTTGACACACCTGAGTCTCAAGTGTGCTGTCTTTACTTTGGATCTCTTCCTTTTCCTCCAGGGCAGAAACTACGCTGGTGTCAAAAGGTACATGTAGCTTTGGTTTCATGCCATCATCTGAATCAACGCTTCCTTCAGCAGAAATTATTGTGGTGTCATTCAATTCTCCTTTTTCTGTTTCAGAAATACCTGATTGTGGAAGAGGGTCTGTAACATCCTGCTTTGTCTCCAGAACAGGTGTAACTTCTGTGGCATCTTCCTTCACTTCCTCTTTTGGATGTTCTTCGCATGTTTTTTCTGTCACAGTGATACTCAATGTCTGCAAAACATCTGTGTCCTTTTGGTTCATTTCCAGAAGTTCACTGTTCTCTCCAGCATCTTTGTCTAGCTTCTCCTCTGGACATGTTTTCACAGCCTCCTCATCCTCTGTTTCCATTGGTGACATACATACATCCCTGATCTGATCCTCAAAAGCAATTTCAGTCTTTGGTTCAGTGACCTGGCTGCCATAATCCTGTTGATTTTCCCCTGTTGTAATGTTAGACTGCAACTGTCTGCTATTTATATTTGGTTCTTCCGTTGAACCTTGCTCATCTGTGCATGTTACTGTCTCCTTTTGTGACAGATAGTTGTTGGAAGAGGAACTCTCAAGCTTTAAATCACTTGATTTCTTTCTTGGGGTGAAGGTGCCAAATGACCCCCCTTCTAATTTGAAGATAGACTCATTTTCAGAGACTGTGGATTCAGCATTTACCAGGCAAATCTGTTTAGGGACTTCATGGACCAGTGATAGGCATGAATCTGAGACAGGGACAGGGTTGTTTGATTGGTCTGGTATATCACTTGTTGTGGTAGGTTCACAGAGATCATTTTGTTCATAAGAACCAGTCAAAGCTGGAGTCTGTGCTTCTTGAGCTGATTCCAGGACTTGCAGTGACTGTTTAGGAGAAGCGTCAGTTCCGTCCTTGCATAGGTTTGAAATGGATTCTCCTGGAATGTTAAACTCTGTGTTAGGGGTCTGATCTTTGTCATCTTTCCCATCATCTGAAAGTATATTTAGTGTAGATTGTGCACTTGGGATGCAGCTCTTTTCTGGATCTTCCCATGTGGTCACCAGGAGTTTTTCAGAATTGCACTGTATAAGTGCATTATTGTCTGGGTTTTGAAGGATGTTTGCATCGTCTTCGCCCCCTCCTGCTTCTGACAGATCCTCAATGGATCTCCAAGTGGACAGATTTGACTCCAACATGCCAGCCTCAATATCTGCCATCTTCTCTGGCAAGTCACAGTAGCTGTTGTTGTCCTCGAGGTCGCCCATGATGTCATCTCCAGCAGCAATGTTGGGAGTTACAGATAGGCCCTTGTTGTGCAGTGATCCAGCTGTCTCGCACATAAGCAAATTCTCTGCCTCAAAGTCACAGCATTCCCCTAATGACAGGGACAAGGGCTCAGCTGGAGCCCAACCCTCTGATGAAACACTCCTTTCTGACATGCTATTTTCAGAGTTCTCTTTCTTTGGTGAAATGGCGAGCATGCTGTAAGTAGCAGAGGACATGTTTAAAGGGCCAAGACTTACATCTTCAGGGCCAGGATGATTTTCTGTCAGGTTATCTTGGTCAAGGGAGTGTTCAAATGGGGAGATATCAGCTGGAGTTAAGTTATCTGGTATTTCTGACAGCTCAGGATAGGCACAAACTGGTATGTTTGTGGGGCTACAGTCGTCTTTAGGGTAAGACAACAAAGGGACTCCTTTGTTAAGATCATTTGTTGCAGTCTCATCAAGCCTCAGTGAAGTATCCAAGAACTCGGAGTTGTTTCCATTTTTCTGATCCAGCTCCTGGTCATCCTGAAAATTTAATTCAGGGTCCATGCCTGCTGCAGTGGCACCAAGCATACAAAGAACTGGTTTACTACATGTTTCAGTTACTTTATCTAGTTCTGTTGATTTTGTTTGATTTTCTGACTCCTGGGTTCTTAAATGACCTGTCTGTTGAGGCTCCACACCACATGGATTGTCTGTTTCTCCTGTTTCTTTGAGATCTGTGCACTGACTATGTTCCCCAGTTTGTTCCCTGATCTCGGCTGTCTCTGTACATTCACCCTCAAAGTTTTTTGGCATGATCATGTCTTCAGTACTTGTAGTGCAGACTGGCATATGCTCATGAGCCACAACATTTGGAAGCTCAGAAGATTCAGAGGAAATCTCCATTTCACTCTCACTTCCAGAAGACTCTGGTCGTGCATGGGTTATTGACTCCACATGATCATCTTGTCCCGGAAATTGCTCAGCAATTTCAGCATGTCTCTCTGTGCTGTACAGATGGTCATCTTCATCTCCGTTACAAGAAGTGGAATCAATTGACTCTTCTGTGTCATCTTGATAAGCAAAAGACTCGTCTACCCCTTCATTTATGGAGTTCTCTGAAAGTGAATTTAGGAAAGAGGCAGATGTGTCCTCCTCATTTGGGTCATCCACATCCCTTGGCCCAGTCTTTAAGGCTTCTGCCTGCTCTTCCAAATAATTGTCATCATCATCATCCTCATCCTCATCATCATACTCATCCACATCACCTTCTTCCTCTCCAGCAGCATATGCATCGACATCATTTTCAGGTTCCTCATCTGTTGGGAATAATGTTATTTCCATAGAATCTGCCTGGAATATCAAGCTGGCATGGACAGGCAGCAGGGAGGCAGGAATCATTCCATCTCCACCGGGTCCGTCATCTCTAGCGCACCCATGGAAGAACAGAGCAGAAGATCCCATCTCACTGTACAAGCTGTTGTTGTCAGTGTCTGAAATCTCTGAGGAGCAAGTGGCAGGGGTTAGGCTGCCTGTCTCCAGGGCAGTAGCAGCTGTTGCCAGTCGGTGACTGAAGGGAAAAGAAGATGCCAAATCTGGGGGAAAGTCCTCTTCTGGGCTTAGAGGGGCATCCAGTCTGGCAAAGTGCTCTGAGACACAGGCATCAAGGTCCAGTTCTAGATCCTGATCTGGATCATCAAAAGGCT